GTGTGAGTGTGAATCCTTTGAAAAACATCATGTCACCAAAAAAGAAAAGAAAAGAAAGACAGAAAGACAGAAAGACAGAAAGAAAGAAAGAAAGAAAGAAAGAAAGAAAGAAAGAAAGAAAGAAAGAAAGAAAGAAAGAAAGAAAAAGCTTACCCAGGTTCTTATGGAGTCACCTAGTTCCAGACATAGATCTAGTTGGAGGAGGGCACATTCTAATACAGTTCTCATTCTTAAGTAGCATAGTCGCAAAACAGCTGTGTCACATGATTTGGCCATGAGTTTAGACTATCTTGAAGAAGCAGTAACTGTGGGAGTTTACTGTTTCTAGTGTGGTGTGTACTTGGTTGTAGAGATGGCTCTCGTATACACTGCAGCTGTTGTGCATAAACCGGAGCTGACATGAGAAAGCCTCCAGCTGCTCTGTGATTGGCAGATCCCGTTAGTTCAACGCAGAGCCAAGAGCTACAGCTTGGCCAAGGTCTGCTTCCCAGAGCGCTAGAGAATAGCATCAAGGACTCTTGCGCTGCAGATTGCTGTTGAGGAGAGAAAGAGAGAGAGAAAGGGGGGGGGAGAGCGGGGCAGGCAAAAACCCAACCCATCAATATGATGAAGAGCTATTCTCAGTATTATCAAATAAGAAAGATACATAAAACCCACACATGCATTGAAATTTAGAAGATTTGTTGTAGATTATGGTTGGAAGGGGACGTATTAGAGGAAAATGTCTGTTGCTGGTACTGTCAAGAAGGTGGTGTGAAGTGCAGCTTTGCAACTTGAGTGTTCTCATCAGATCTGACATTTTGGCAGCCACATTTGTTTCAGTCTCTGAAACTTCATGCCAGCGAATAGCTGCCAATTGACCTCTTTTTAGATGAAACTGTCTGAGGGGAAATGGCATAATTATATTCATATCTTGTTCTTCATTGCGAGCATCCATAATGTTTCAACAGGGGCCAATAGACAATAGGCACTGCCTTCTTCAAAACCAATATGTAAATGCGAACCAAGTCAGAGATATTAGTGTGTTTCCAGGATGACCACGGGGCAGCACAAAGTGCCCAGGTGGACCGTCACCCCTCACAGATCCCTTGTGGCACTCACATGTTACGATCAGAAGTGGGGAAAGGGAAAGAAAAAACATCAAGATGGAGGAATATATGCTATCTATATCTTTAAAAGGAATCTTCTTTGACTTCATTCCTGTAAAGTTTAGTCAAAGAACATTGCTTAAAAATCAAAGATCATACTGTGACCACAGGACTACTAATTTCAGATCTGGAGAAAGGGGTGGGGATGGGGAAAAGAGAAAGGATGGAAAGTGTGGAGAAGAGTAGGATCTCTGCATTGCCCTTTTAAGTCCAAATCAACAAGGAATGTGTCCATTGCCTCTTTAAGATCTCTTACTCACTTTGTGACTGCCTTAGGAAGCCACTTAAGACTTTTTTTTCCTGACACTGTGGGGAAAAAAAGGAAGGGAAAAATGAAAACAGAACAGAACATCTGGTTCTGCAACTGCTGCTGTCCTGGCCAGAAGTCCTTTTCTGCCTTCTCCATTCAGGCTGTGAATGACATTTTGCACTGACATTTCCCCATTTGCAGAAATATATATTTCTGCAAATGGGGAAGTGCCAGTGCCCAGTGCAAAATGTCTTTCATATATATATTTCCTATGGAGAATCAGAAATATCCAAATATGCCACTACAGACCTGGACAGGTTGGAGTGTTTGCAAAAGGGCACATGGCACTTTTGGACCACTGCTCCCTTGCCAGAAAGGAGCCAGATATCACCTAAAAGGAGAACACACAGGGCGAAGAACACCAAAATGGAGGCTATTCTTCACGAAAAGGGGAACAATTTTTGCGTTAAATCCACATATGCTAATTTAAACTAATACATGCAAATTTTATCACAGCTGGACATTATTACTATAGTTTAAGTAGAAATGCACCACTATTTGCCATTTGCTACCAGCTTATGACTAGGCAACCACCTTCGGACACAACAAGGATATCAATCAAATAAATAAGTACAGCATTGTATTTAGTAATTCTCTGCAATGCCCGTTGCCTTTTAGTTTTGGCAGCATTGAAAATGAATGTATAGAGAAAAAAATAAAGAGAGGTTACTGCAGTTTTGTTGAAATATCTGGCTAGGTAACAATCCGTTATTTCAGAGGAGTGTCTTAACAGGGCTTTCAGAACACCCACTCCTGGGACTGATCTCACATCTGGAGTTCATTGCTTAGGATGGAGTCATGACTGTAAACATGTGATTAAATTCCAGTAAATATGTTGGTGTTGTTAAACTTACGGGGTTGTGTGCGTCTGGAGGGCTGAAAGATGTTGGTGACAGAGCAAAATCTAGGCTGTTGGATACTAGGAAGTGGAGCTGTAACTAGGGCAGAACAATCAGGGGTTTGCCTCAGGGCCCACTGAAATCACGAGGTGAACTTATTAGTGGATGTTAAGAAAATAAACCTTATTCACCGTCCTCTTCTTGGAATAATAACCTTTTCCTCCCTTTTCTGGCTGGCCACCACTATTCTCTTCCTTCTTTTTCTTGAAGGGGGAGCACACCCATGCCTTAAAGGTAAAGTGAGGGGAAGATGGTGCTGCTTGCTAGTTACCGCTCGGCTGGAAAGTTTAGGTGCCAGAAACCAGAGATGAAGTAGGTGGGAGGAGAAGAGGAAGAGAAGCTAGTAGTTATTTATCTAGAAGTAACCGTTCACTTCTTCTTTTTTCTTGATATCATTGATTTCTGATGGAATGGCCCCGTAGTTATTAATGTTGGAAGATGGCAGTGCCACCTAAATGCCATTCATGTGAAGTCTGTTCATTCTTCCCCTTACAGCTGTACTCCACTGGGGGTATATCAATAAACAACACTTTGACATTTGAGGAGAGAAAAATGGCTACCAGTCATAAATTATTTGGATGTACAGTAGCTATAGCCTCAGATTTTGGACCTCACTCACAGCTAATGATGGTTTAATGGAGTGACGGGAACATAGGATGTCCTGAACGGTTGATGAGACAGAGAAGTGTTGAAATAATATGATTTCATTGCCTTAAAATGGAATGATTTCAGATTAATTTTTATTGGCCTTATTAATGTCCTAAGATATCAAAGTGACACTAATGTATAATTTAAATAAGACAGTCCAAATTCTCCCCTTTTAATAGAGTATTTGTCTGTGTTAAATGCTAATCTCTTGAGGCTCAAGAAGTCAGCAATTTTACAAGCAAAAGAGACATTTAATGCATTCCTGTCTCATGAATTAAAGACTTTCTTCCCTTTTTGTGACTCAAAATATCTCATCCCTTTTTGCTGCTGCTCAGATGTGGCACAAAATAAATGCACAACCAACGTGATGGCATATTTTTCATTTATTTCTCACATCTTTCAATGTAAGCGTCATGCCATGGAATCCACTGGAAGGTCATACTCCGATAATTCTCCTGCTATCATGATAAGGTAAAGGTAAAGTTTTCCCTTGACATTTAGCCCAGTTGTGTCTGACTCTAGGGGGTGGTGCTCATCCCCGTTTCCAAGCCTAAAAGCCAGCGTTTGTCCAAAGACAGTCACGTGGCCATGGCGACTAGACACGGAATGCTATTACCTTCCCACCGAGGTGGTCCCTATTTAGCTACTCGCATTTTTACATGCTGTTGAACTGCTAGGTTGGCAGGAGCTGGGACAAGCGACGGGAGCTCACTCTGTTGTGTGGATTTGATCTTATGACTGCTGGTCTTCCAACCTTGCAGCACAGAGGCTTCTGCGGTTTAACCCGCAGCACCATCACATAAATATTTAACTGTATTTATCTCTCAGAATACTGAGAGAATCTCCTGGTTTGTGTTACATTTCAAACACTCATGGTACAAGCTGTACATTTTAAAATAATTTTATGGACTCAGATAACATGCAAGCACTATGTTTCACCCATTTGAAACTATGTTAGACAAATCCATTTTGAAGCACACATGTTCTGATCTCTATTCAATTTTCTTTGTTCCTTTTCAGAATAATTATTGCTGCATGAGAGTGCAGGAATGATCTTGTGCTGATACAGCAAATCAACATTCTACAAGGCAATTCCAAAAAATGGAGGCAGCCCAAACAAAAAAATTATAACTTTGAAAATGAACTTTGGATCAACACCAAATTTGGCACAGTTATAGCAGACAGTCTGCACTTACTCTGTACCAAATGTTGGGAGGTTTGGGCAAAGGATTTTCAAGTTATATATATATATAAAGTGAAGCTCACCCCATTGAGAAATAGGAGACCCCGAATGACCCCAGATTTAAAATAGGTCATATATATTGAAAAGACCAATCTTGCTGATTTTGAAAGAGAATGGTTGCCCCCGCCCTCTTTGTTTTATTTGGAAGGAATCCAGACTGCAGGGGTTGAAAGACTGATCCTCAAAATAAGCCTTTCAAATGGGGGGAAAATGTGACTTGGTTATAAACTGAGCATGTGTGGTACAGGCTTGCCAACCAGATGATACAATATATCTAACTCCTTCATTGCTGCACTTCTGAGTCTCTGTGTTCTTCTTCTGATGTCATTAGCCATACCATTTTTCCCCAAAATGAAATATTTCTGATTTCCAGCGAAGTCCTAATGAATCTCGTATAGAATGGGAGGGAATCTTTAATTTCAAAACGTTGTCACTGTCAGGATCACTTTATGTGTGGTGGTGATTTTTGGAAATTAAATATTCTTCTCTTCCCTGATACAAGTAAAATAGTTCCCAGGACAAAATTAAAAATAAGTGTCCCTGAAGAGTTAATTCCATACTAGAGAGAGAGACTGAGACTGAGAGAGAGAGAGAGAGAGAGAGAGAGAGGAAACACCCACATGTTTTGCATGGAGAAGGCTCTGGAGAATGAAAGCATCTTCCCACAGCAACATATGGTAGGAAGCTAATGGTTCAATGATGTGGCTTTATATGGAGAGGTGAGAAAAGGACAGCATAGGGAGGGCCTCTCTTGTCATATTTTGTTTTGGGAACCATGTAGTTCAACTCTGCTTGTGGACAGAGGAAGAATGGAAGGTGTGGGGGCTGAAAGGCCAAACTTGTGCCTCCAGTCACCTCTTGTGGGCTGGGGGTGAGCCAAATGGGGTGAAAAAAATCACTCCCTGTTCTCAGAACTTGGTGGATATTTGATCTGGATTCTCTCAGATCATTGCTTGATCATCTCTTTCCCTGCTTTGTTCATGAATGAGTTCTCTTTATTTTGTATTGCAGAGATTTGTATTGGAGAAAGATTTCCCCCCGCTCCCAGAAAAGGAAAGCCTTTCCTTATTCCAAAAGATGACAAATGATAGGAAATCCTGTGACATTGATGAGAACGCCCCCAGAGAGCCTCAAGGAGCAGAAAAAGACCAAATGTATAGTTTTTTAAAACTTGTAACAGGGGACTTGTGGAGACCACCGTGATGTTCTGGGGGAGGGTGTCTTACATAGCCCAGGGGTCACACTTTACCCACCTTTGATTTACACACTAGTGACATGATAACAGCAGTGATAGTGGCTACCTTTTTATAGCTCAGGAATTGTACCCAGATCTAGGAGTCCTGGGAAAATTTTGTGTGTTTTGCTTTGCTAAGAAGCTTCTCTCCATCTAACTTTGTTTTCTGATGCAACCCCCTGCACCAATCTTCCTGATTCATATCTTGTTCATTTAGATCTTTCAATTCTCGTCTTCTGTAGCATCTTTTTTATTTAGGAAAAAGATCCACCCGCCAGAATTTCCACTGTGACTTTGGCAAAACAGAGCAATTCAATCAAGGCCCTCTTCTATGTTCACCTCACCTTCCTTATTAATTTTTTTAGGATTCGGTTGTGATTACAAATTTCAAGAAAGCAATGGGCTGCTTTTATTCTTGACGGGTGGCTATGTTTAAGCAGAGTTCTGTGGGAAAAAAACTGTCCCCACAGGAAGACTCTGCCTGGGACTGCCTTTCTGATTTTTTTTTCATGTGCACTGAAAATTCCCACAGTTGAATCCCAGCACTCAGGGTGGGGAAGATGATGACCCATGATGTCACACATTTCAAACTGTGTTCTCTGCCCCCAGCAACTAGGAATAAGAGGAAGGGGCTGAACCGAACATAGAGACCTTGATCCCCTCACTGCACTTCCTGCCTAGAAGAAAACAACAGCAAGATGACAAGCAGAAGAGAAGGGCAGAGGCCAAAGCAGTTTCATTCATAAGCCTGACAAAAATGTTTTCACATGACCCTGATCCGGCCTGGGGAAAAAAGCACTATAAATAGACAACTTTCTTCTCTCCACTAGGCAGCTTGCTCCACTAGGACCCATTTGCAAGAGGCATAAGCCCAGCCCACCCTCTGGAAAAGGTGTGGTATCAGAATGAGAGTTGTGCCAACAGACACTCTATGGTCCACCAGCAAAAAACGTGGTTGCCATACAGAGATTCAGCCAGCAGACCTTCTTCTCAAAGCTTGGAAAAGTTACCTTATTTGGACTTCTACTCCCAGACTCCTCCTGCCCTTTACTCAAGTCAAGGTGTACAGTACCTACAAAGCAGCCCGTGAGACAGAGAACTCCATAAACATCTTTCGCCTTCCTTATTAGCAGAAAGACCATAATTACAAATTAAAGGACTAATGATTTGCTGTCCTTCCACAGAACCCCGTCCCCCAACACCTGTCTGCTGCCTAAAAAGACAGCTGCCCTAGTCTGCCTCATGGTAGAGCTGGACCTTAGTAGGGAGAGTAGTTGTGCTCTGTAGAAACCAGGAGGGGAGCGGCCTCTTTAGCAGCAGGCGGTGGGCACGGTCTCACTGTTTGGAAGAGGGCTGCTTGTCACAAAGAGGCAGACGCAAGGTGGTTCTGAGAAGTGGAGCCTCCTTCTTGCACAGAGACAACGCCCGCCCTTTCCCAGAGCGTGTGCCTTTCATCTTCTCTTCTGGCTTCCTGTTGTCTACGTTTAGCAAAACAAGCGACAGCATGTTTGCAACTAAATGTGGTCACTGGGCAAGGCCTGAAGCGGCAGTGCTTGTGTGCAGGGAAACTAATCCAAGTCTGAGGCCTGCCTTGCAGGGCCATCCCGTCGACAGAAATATAAGGAATCCAACCTTCAGAAGGAATTCAGCCAGACTTGCTTGGTTAGTGAAGATGCCAAAATCAACTTCTCTAAATGTTTCGGTCTATTTTGACCCCCCTGGTAGACATGATCTCAAAAGCAGTCTGAATGTGCCTCTCTGGCAGAAGTCTAGCTCCCCAGGAATATTGTTACTTCTTGATATTTTCTTTTCTTACTAGAAGGTGGCAAAGCATGATGATAAGGTTAAACTTGGAGCCCAGGTGATCATCCCTCCCCCTCACCACTTCTACTGTGTTTTATTCATTTTTAAATTACAGATTACCTTTGTCTCCCACCTTTTCTCCAGTGCACGCAAGACAGCACATACGGCACTCCAGCTCCCACTATATCTTCCCAACAGCCCTGTGAGGTAGATCAGGCTGAGGAAGAAAGATGGGAACAAGATTATCGAGTGAGTGATTCCTGGCACAGGAGGGATCTCCCAAATCCCGGTTCAACTCTCTGACGACTGTGCTAGATCTGTTCTCAATGTCTGGTTTGACATCTGGTTTAAATTCTTAGGGCCATTCTTGAGCGTCTGCTTGTCAAATTCTTAAAAATAACAATGGACCATCAAGTCAATTCTGACTCAGGGCGCCCCTTTTCAGGGTTTTCCATGTAGAGAGTACTCAGAAGTGGTTAACCCTTTCCTTCTTTCTGGGGCACCCTGGGGCTATGCAGCTTGCCCAAGGCCATACACGCTGGCTCTTCTGGGATGCACAGTGGGCTCTGCAGCCAGACATTTAACTGTCTTATTTTATTTCAGAGCAACCTCAATTTATCTCTGCTTTCAAAAATAAATTCACTGGTGCAAAATTGAAGTTGATCTGTTCCTTTTTCACCTAGCTCCAAGCTCCAAAAATGGATTTATCTATAAACTGGACTGGTAGCAGAAGGCTACTGACATAGTTCCGTTAGGGAGTTTAGAGGAAGTCTGAAAATGGGTTTCACTTCCACATCTTAGAGAGGTGGTAGAGTCTTATAGTACATCCAGAAGCTAAATTATAAAAAAATGCAAGTGGTTGTGGTGCTAACGTTAAGCAAAATTTGTTGGTGGGTTGCAGCATGCTGTGCTTTGCAGGGTTGGAATGCAAACTAGGGGCAAAAAAAAAATAAGGTGGCAAAATGCCAATGAATGGGAGGTGCTGTTGCAGGGAGATGGGGCAAAGAATTTGAGCTTGTCATTTTTTAAAGGAGCCATCTGGTAATAGAAGACAAATGTAGGTGGTGGTTGATTAGCTAGGAACAAAGTGCCATAATTCAGTCAACTGCTGTGTAAGGCAACATCACACTCTAAAGTGCCATTATCTGTTCTTTCCTGGTAGCACTCTACTAGTCCGTTCCTTCTGGCACATGTTCACAGTGAAGTCATTATGAATCCCCTTTCTCTTTAAAGTCGGGCAAGGTTATTCTGAATTCTGAAGGCACAAAATGGGTTCATTGGAGAGAACTTGATACAGGAACCCAGCTTTCAAAGGGAGTCTTGTGGCTGGAGCTATTTGTAGGAACCTGGGATATAAACATGATGAATAAATACGCGGGTACTAGGTGTGGGTAGTCTTTCTGCCCATGCCAAATCACAACAATTTCATTCCATCGTTGTGCTCACAGTTGCTATGGGCAACCTTGTAGTGATGATCTTTGTGTTTAGCAAGAACAGTCCTCCCGCGTTTGGGGTTGTGCTTGAAGCTTTCCCAGCTTGTTTGAATTTGCCAGAGCTTACACTTCACTGGCATAGCCTTCAAGAGTTGTGGATCACCTCCATATCCAGACAATGGAGTGGTAAGAAGTTTTAATTTAAAAAAACAAATAAACACATAGTTCTACACTGAGATTAAGTGGGAAACCAAAACAGAAACCCATTTTGAAATACTTTTTGGAACTTTGTAATAAACAACATTTCAGATGAGAAATAAGCCTTGCTGAGCTGTTACAAAATTGGAAGCATGGAAGGGACCACAGGAATGTACCGTATTTTTCCATGTATAAGATGCCCCATGTATAAGATGCCCCCCATTTTTCTACCCCAAAAGTAAGAAATCTAAGTGGGACTTAGCAAGTGTAGGGGGAAAGGGATGAAAGCACTGCAGGATCGCTTTGATCCCTGCTTTCCCTTTCACTTGTTTTTCTTCTCACCTCAGCTTACGACCCTCAATTTTTATTCTAAAGATTTTATACAAAAGTATAGTCTTATACACTGAAAAATACGGTATTTCTTTCTGCGCCTCGAGTTCCAGATTCTCAGCCCTGGCCAGGAACCACAGTCACCTGACTCTGGTTACAATCTCTCTTCAGGGCTTCCTGATCAATACATGGAGATCAGGATTAATACCCTTATTCCCTTGTTGATGGCACTCCTGTCTCCATCCTTCTTTGAGTTTTGTAGAGTCCATGAAAGACTATAATTTAGGGAGGAGAATCATGTTTAGTTTGTTCTTATCTTCCTACAGAATGCTCTTAATTGATTTGAATGGATGTAGTTTTGGGAGAAATCCAGAAATGACCCACAGCTAGAGTGGGCGCATTGAATCCGTAGGAACTGGGCTAGTCAATGCTTCCATAAGTTCCATTGATTCACTGGAGCTATTCTAGTTGTGACTTGCTGCTAGATTCAGCCATTGTGGGTGCTTTCTGCAGCTAGTTTCCCCTCAGCACTGCTTGGGAAACCCTGTTTTGAATTTTTGCTTCTACCAGTTCTTCCCCTCCCGAGTTTGACATGCAATATTAACATGTCAGAAGGAGCAGATGGAATAATGAGGTGAAGGAAGATCAGAGTAAACATTTTGCCACCAAAGACGATTCTTGTGTACACAGGAAGAGGAGGTGGTATACATACAAAACACTGCAGTGTTCTTTTGAGAGGCATCCCATCTGCTTCTCGTTTCCATGGTGCCTTCTTAAATTCCTTGACTGCTAATCCGAAAGAAATGCAACATAGGATGTCCAAGAGAACCTTGATTGTGACCTCCCTTGTGAATGATATCCGGCAAGAAGTAGCAGTCTGAACACTTCATGGACTATGGGAGAACGGAAGTTCGTCCCTGTGGCTTTCTTCCTTCTTGATGGAAAAGCACATTATGTTCATGTAGTATGTTTTTTTTAACAACATGCTTATGCCTTTTAAAAATAGCAAGCAAGAATCACTGACACACACAGACTCTTCCCTCATCATCAGGAAACAAGCACACAACGGAATGAATTATTTGCCGTGTTTCCCCGAAAAAAAGACAGGGTCTTATATCAATTTTTGCCCCCCAAAACACATGTAGGGTTTTTTTTTTCAGGGGGTGTTTTATTTTTTTCATGCACAACAATCTACATTTATTCAAATACAGTCATCTTCTGGTTGCTGCACAATGATGGAGGATGGGGGTTCACTTAACCGGGGCTTATTTTGGGGGTAGGGCTAGGGCTTATATTACGAGTATCCTGAAAAATCATACTCGGGCTTATTTTCAGGTTAGGTCTTACTTTCGGGGAAACAGGGTATCAGTGCTAGTCAAAGACCAGGATTTGGAAAAGTTATGTTTCCTAGACAAAAGCCTGCTTCCAGGAGAAAAGCAAATAACAGATCCCAAACCCTGGGGATCAGTCGTTACCTAAAGTATGACATGCTAAATCACCGGACATATTTTCCCTATCAATACCTTAATTAAAAATCAGGAATTAAAAATTTCAGGAGCATTTTTAAAGAAAATGAGTAGTTATCTATTACTAGAAGGGGGCCTTGAAGTTTTTCAGAACAAAGTTATTTTTAAAGGTCCTCCACAATCCTCTAGGTTCCTCGCTGAGGGCCTCCATAGCGGTAAAAAGGTCATAAAGCCCACCTTCAACCCTCAACTTGACATAACAGGAAGATCCATCCTGACCAGATGAAGGCTCAGCCTGACTGTTAACTGCCTCTCAGTTTGCCGAGATACAGACCAGATTGTGACCTCATTCTGACATCGGAGGATTCTGACCTATGGCCAGGCTGGTTAGGAGAATTGTGGGACATACAGTCCAAGAAAGCAACTTTATCAAGCCCTGCTTGGCATGTGATGAGCTTGCCCAAAGGGACACAGCCAGCTCTTCCTCCCCAACGGTACAGTGGGAAATCCAACTACCAACCTCTGGCATTACAACCACTCTTTGCAACAATACCCAAAGAAACGTACAGTGGGAACCAAAATCCTTCTTCCAGGAGAAAAGCAAAGAAACAGATCCCAAATGCTGGGGATCACTCGTTACCTGATGTGTGACATCCTAAATCAAAGAACATATTTTTCCCTATCAACAGCTTAATTGAAAATAAGGAATTAATAATTTCAGGAGCATCTTTAAAGAAAATGGGTAGTTATCGATTAGTACAAGGGGGCCTTGAAGCTTATTAGAACAAAATTATTTTTAAAGGTCCTCCTCACTCCTCTAGGTTCCTCGCTCAGGACCTCCTGA